GGAAGATGACTTTTATAGTTGGTGATTTGTGGCAGGCGGCCAGAAGGGCAGCCGCCCTCCGGCCATGGTCGGCAACCTTCTGTCACATCCCTGACAAAGCTACGTGCACACATTACGTCCGCCGCAAACGTCCACGGAGGGTTGCAGCCTCCTGTCTCTCCTCAGCGACCGAAAACTCATAAATCACACCCCGCCACAGGCGGCCATGGAGGGCTGCTGTCCTCCGTTCCCCGTCGGCTGCCTTCCACTATTTTGTCGCCATGCAAAGTGTTATATGCTGAAACTACCAAAACTCGAAGGCGTTTAGAAAGGCGGACGCCCTAGCGACCGCTTCTCGTCAAATGGAAAGGATTTCTTCACCAAAGTTGTATCTCTCTTTCTGGTTTAACTACTGGAATTTTAATTACATGTTTTCGATGTGTATTTTAAGAGATAAGACCAAAACGGTGGGCACATGTCACTTTTCCATCGCAACTGTGAGCGTCTGACTTATTTGAGAAATATGTCCATTCAACGATCATAATTTGGTCATGTGTTCTTCATAAGAGTTGTATATCAGGAAGATGCCTATGTAATGCAACTCGTATCACGATCGTTGGATCGTCACACACAATGTTATGATCAAAATGCAAACATATGTCTCTATGGATCATTCATATTTATCAAAATTGGCCATATAGGCGACCCCTTTCTTGCTTTTTGAGCTTCTTTGCATGTTTTCTTCCTCTCATGAACTCTCCTCATTGAATAATTTGTCAATATATCTTTCAAAATTCCGTAGCAATTCATTTGTTTGCAAAAATGCCACTTTCTTCTCGCAATTGACCCGAAAAAGTTAAATCGAATAAACAGACTTTTGATGCATCTTTTCACATGTAACTTGAAAATAGACAATAATACCTGATATTATGATAATATGCCCTTTTTAATCTCGATTTATATAAGAACACGTTAAAATATGAAGAAAAAGATAACTACAAAATGGACTTATCAAATTCAAATGGGGTTTCACAGGGTTTGGAAAACCTGAAGGTGAAGGGTTTTTTGGCGGTGGGTGAGAATAAAAGGCACTAGGAGATTGCATTTGATATTTGGAGGCGAGGGGCAAAGAGTTGGTTTGGAGGATTCAATTGAGCGATTGGGTCGCTCTTGATAAAATCTATTGGGCATGGGAGGCAAGGCGGAGGTTTTCAATCAAGAGTTTCTGTCGGGTTTTGTTAGGAGAGGATGCTATTGACAGGTGGATGGGATGGACTCACATTCAGTATTTTCAAAAGTTCGCAGAAAGTAAAAAATTGTTTTTTGGCAATTGTGTGTGGATTATTTGCAAACAAATGACAACCTAGTGAGTAGACGGGTGCAAGTGTCGCCTTGTTGCGGTCACGTTGTGGAAGTAGTTGAAACAACAAAGTATGTATTTTGTAGATGCAAAGTTGCAGATGAAGTGGGGAGTAGGTTTCAATGTGGTGACTCTGGGGGAGGATGTCTCGTTCTTGGTATTGGTTGAGTTTTTTGACTCAACATTGGACGAATAACAATACAATGGACTAGTGTTGCCATGTTGGCCATAGTTGAAAGGCCTGGGAGGGGTGAATGTTGTGACAAAGGAAGTTGAGATTTTTCACCCAAGGTGCTTAAATTCTAGATAGCCAACAACAAGTTTACACCGATGGGGAAGAATAACAGCTCGACAATGGAAGTTGAGATCTGATGTGGTTTCGACAAAGGAAGTCAAGATGTGATGTGGAGGAAACCAGCTTGGGATAATGTAAAAATTAATACTGATGCGGCCTGTAGTAAAGCGGAGGTGCAACAACTTGGGGTGAGTGGCTCGAGATCATTCAGAGTTTTTTTACCAATGGGAGAAATCTTGTGGCAGGGAACCTATCTTCCACATTAGGTGGCCTGGAGGCATTGAGCATTCAGAAAGAGTTTAACAGGGTTATTACTGAATGCTAGGTATTGTCTAAATAGAATAAAAAACACTACAAGTTATTTCGAGCATCAAGTTGGGAGAGTGCATCAAGTTTCGAGTGGTTGTTGAAGGTATTAAAACGATGATTGGTAGTTTTACTAGTATCTCATAAAGTCATATTAAGCGATTTGCAAACCGGGTCACTCATAGCTTAGTCTGGTTAGACCGTCTGTTCTATACCTGATCACATAGGGATAGTGTGAGTTTTAGTTATCCTTCATGTATTTAAGACACCTTGTTTCGTGATTTTATTAATGATAATCATCTTCCCTTAAAAAACTTGTTTTTTATTTTATATTTTATATTTTTTTTACATGTTTATGTTCTTATGGTCAAATTTTATCAATAAGTTACCCTAAGTATGTCTAAAACATAATCATTTTTTCCCAAATAGAAGGGTCATGTTTCTATTCTCAAAATTGGAGTGCATACTCTCTATTTACCTTTCCGTAATTTATTCAATTATATTTATCACATAATTGGTTCATCAACGCGTCATACACGTTGGTGTAAATGCCCATAGCCATTATTATAGACTTATTGGTTTATCAAGTTAAAGTAAAATCCACGTAATAAATTAGAGCCCGTTTGATGACCATGTTTTTCGGCTTATCAGACTTATGAGCCAACTTTTCAACCAAACACGTAAATTTTGATTTCGTGCGCTGAATTGTCCAATAATAAGTAAGAACAATAAGGTTGGAGTTACTTTTCTGGATGTATTGGCTGATGTTATCGCAGACGATTATTTTAGCAATTTTTTCATATAAGTATTTCTTTATTTACTTAATAAAATATTTTTTAAATATAATTTTTTCATAAATCAGCAGAATCAGCCGATCCAGTCACTTCAGCCAGAAATTCATAAATTTCAGCAAAATCAGTCAATGCAGCCGATTTGGGTTCTACCAAACGAGCTCTTACTGTATATGTGACTCAATTTCAAGTATGACCTTTGCGGGTCATCGAGATAGATAATAAGAGACAATAACCGAGGTATATTTTCAAAACGCACACACGCTATATCAAATTCTATGTTCATGGATGAAAGAATCCTATTATTATGAACTCTATATCACATGCAGTTTATATAACTCTCACAAACATCCGTGTATAAGTTTGTTTAGTGAGTTGTCTTGAAATTCGAATAAATCCTAATTTTATTTGGGTTTGATATAGAAAAAATTGCCAGGTTATTACTTATTGACTTTTGATTTCTAAATCTATGAGTCTTTTCCTATTTTCCCAAAAAGTTACCCGATGCACGCTGCTTTCCCCTTTCTTCATTCCACGCAAGCATCCGGGCATCGATGGCGTACCATTCTGCATCTTACGGTCCTGCACCTCAACACCACAGACGCGTCGCGCACCGCCGCTGCCACGTCGTGAACCACCACCGCCGCCGCCATAAGCCATCGGTGCTCCAGATACTGTCTTCTTTGTGAATCCGTCTTCTCCGTTGAGAATGAAAGTGCGACCTTTCTCCTCTGCACCTGCGCACGGCCATCGCTCCAGCACTGTCGCCTCTGGGGCGTACTGGCTCCACCTTTTTTCTGGTCTACGTCTCTGCCGGGATCTGACGTCGCCGCCTTTGCCAGCCTCCAGATCGCCGCCTGCTTCTGTTCTTCTTCTTTTTCGATTTTTTCAGATCTGAGATGCTAGCAGAGGCGCGACGAGGGTTATGACGGTGCTGAACGGCGCTAGGAGAGGCGCGACGAGGGTTACGACGGTGCTGAACGGCGGCTATAGTTACGAGATGTCGGGCTAGGCTGAGATCTGTTGGTTGGGGATTAGATCTGTTGGCGGGGGATGAGATATGTGCCGGTGGTGATGGGCTGGAGGTTAGGGGATTGACCGATTGGGGGTTGGGGATTGATGTTGGTGGGTGATGGTGCCGGTCTGGGTCGGATATGGAGAAAGACTCGTCTGGGGGTAGCAGTACGTGACGTAGAGGGGGCTGGAAAGGTGGTTGAGGGCTGGGAGGGGGCTGGAGAGGTGGCTGGGTGGGGGTGGGGCGTTGAGTCAGGGCTGGGGCGGCGACCGGGAGGTGGCGGTGGCGTATCACTGTGACTGAGTAACTACGGTCGGTGGCCGGTGGGCCGACAGTCACAGTGACCGGAGGCACTGTGGCTGGTGGATGGGTAGTCACTGTTGCCTGTGGATGGCTAGTCACTGTTGCCGGTGGGCGGTGGTCACTATGACCGGTAGCTGGGAGTCACTTTGACGGGAGTCACTTTGGTCGGAGTCACTTTGGCCGGAGTCACTTTGGCCGGAGTCACTTTGACCGGAGTCACTTTGACCGGCGGTGGCGGCGGCGGCGGAGGCGGCGGCGGCGGCGGCGGTGCTGGGGTCGACGGCCATGAAGCTGCTGGTGGCTGCAAATTATATAAAAAAGGAATATTGAAATAAATAATAAATGAATGATTAAATAAAAGGGAATAAATGATTTTTAGTCACACTTTTGGAAAGATTTAAAACATGTCACTTTTTTGAATTTTTCATTCATTTTAGTAATATTGGAATAAAAAGGCCTTTGATATATAAGCCGCACAGATTATACATTATACGAGTTTTTTTCCGTATTAATGTTAATTAATTAATTATTTACGGAAATAATGCTGGAAAAAAAGTATTTACCAAAATACTGCTGGGCCTTAACCGTGGTCAGGACAAAGTCGCCCAACCGTTGGGCGACTTATAAGTCGCCAAACGGTTTGGCGACTTATAAGTCGCCCAACGGTTGGGCGACTTTGCCCTGAAATATGGTTTCAACCGAGCAGCTACTGCCAGCCACGCACGATCGTGCGTATTTCCTTACGCACGATCGTGCCTATTACCTAAAACACCAAATCAGCTTGTTTTTCGCCCCGGTTCAATCCAGACCGATCTGTTTGCTACAAATAAGGTCTCCTTTCTCCTTTTGAAGTGTTACAAACTAGATACAACACATGATAATCACATACTCTCAACAACATAAAAAACACCTTATAAACACCGCTAAAAAACTTTCAAATCATAACCGGTATAACACAGTTCAATCATCATATATGCCATAACAAATAATCATGTAATAATCATACTCGAACACATCAATACAACATAGAATACTTAACAAGAGAAAATACATCAAAACTTGTAAATTGTTCCTACAACATCTATTGCATAAGAAAAACTATAATACAAAAGACAAACTACAAGTTCCCATCATCAGCTTCGTCATGGAGATGTTGCTGCTCATGTCTACGCCTACGGCGTTGTCGTGGTTGAAGAACCACTCTCTCATGTTGCGTCTGGGATGATGAACCCGCGGCTGCACTAGACGTGGATGCCATCTCCTGAGATGCGGGCATGTGTATAAGATGTCCGTAGTCTACTCGACCCAAGACATCTGAGCATAACGAGGCAATGCCTGTCAGAGTCTGTCCATACATGTCCACATCAGGAATATCAGTCACAGTGGCAGTAGCCCGCTGATGTATGCGCTGCAAAGCTCGGGTCTGAAATACGAAACACAATTACAATTACATTCAAATACATACAAGTATTACATAAATAAAATGACTTACTTTACTAATTAGTAATATACTCACCGTAAGATGCAATGCCAATGAGCTAGGCTGATAATGATGAGTAGGGAGTCTGAACGAAGGAGACACAAACAACCGAGTGATGCTGTAGTACCATCCCATGTAATCTCCTGAAACTGATGGCACATATGTGGGTGTCCCAGCCACGACTAGCTCAGCTCTCCTATCCCACATAGTCACGTATCGGACATGTCTGAGTGCCCAATCCTCTGTATGTTTCCCACGCCTATCCAGCTTATGCAGCTCTACATAAGTGTCGATAGGACGTGGAATGACCTGCTCAAACCCAAACTGTCGCATGACTCTATCAGGCAAATGAAGCTCAACAATGTCAAAACATATCAGCGGCACACGTGCTCGCCATATGTGAGTCTGCTCTCGTCCAGCTGGGGGCAACTCTGCTAACATATCAGGTCTATACGGCATCCATGTGATCTGTTTCGTAAACATACAAAATTAGTATTTATTCTACACCTATTCTAGTTACTGTTATACTACACACACCATACCTGGTCCTCTGACATCCGATCCAATGCATCCCTGTACACACCGAGACCAGTAGCGGATGACATGCGAGATAAACCAGCATATAGCCACCTAACCATTAATGTTACAATATCAATAATATGGATTTTATTAATGCATTTTCATTCAACAAAAACTAACACAAATACAAACGATTGAAAACATACCGACGGCCTAGAGGGTCCACGCCCCGTACATGATGTGGTCCTAGCAGACGTGGAGGCTCATCAGGCAGTGGCTGTCCATCAATGCCATGATATCCAACTATAATGGGACGGCCAATGTGGATATACTCCCATGACCAAATCTGGAGGAGTAGCAAAAATCCCCCCAGCTCTGTGCTCCCTCTCTGGCACCCGCGACACAGCTGCCTGTAGAGATAAGCCAGGGTGGCACTACCCCAGCTAAACTGTGCTGCTACATCAAACCTCTCCAGCAAAGGCAGGTGTAGCACCTGAACCTCATTTCCGCTCTTGTCAGCGAAAATGGAGGCTCCCATCATCATCAATATATACGCCCGAGCATGCTGCTGGATGATCATCTCATCAGCGTCGGGAGGAAGGGCCTGGAAGTGCTCCCTCAACCATGGCATCCTAAGAGATGACCCCTGAAGGTCAGCCCTAAGAACGGGGCGGATGCCTAACAACCTCTCACACTCATCCACCCACTGTCGACAAGCAGTGCCTGTAACAGCTCTCCCATCAACCTCTAACCCAGTCAGTACAGCCACATCTCCCAATGTCACAGTGACCTCACCAACAGGGAGGTGAAATGAATGTGTCTCCTGCCTCCAACGCTCAAGTAGAGCAGTGAGGAGGGCTCTATCTAAAGGCACAGTAGCCACTAACCTGTGCAGTGTAAAAAAACCTGCTGCACGAACATATGCTAGGACTCTGGGGTCGACATGTAAATGGGACAAACCCCGCAGATGCTCGCGGCACCTATCAACCTGCACATCCATGCCAAGCCAAACATCCTCACTCCTGTGTGAGGCCTGCAGTGTCAGGACAGAAGGATCACTCGGCCCAGGATCCGCTATCACCTCCATGCCTACAAACAAAATTTGTATTAGTTCTAATTGTATTAGTTGTAATTGTATAATGTATTACATTTTTTTTAACTTCCTTTTTTGAATTTATTAATTTTCCATGCAAGGAAATAATGAATTATGATTGACTCGAAATATACACATACCCAGCGGACCCCCCGCTTGTCTAGATGATCTCTTTGCACATGTCGCTCTATTATGGCCGGTTTGGTGGCATCTTCCACATCTAACCGTTCCTCGTGGGCCTTCATCCATCTCATTCTTAATACGGGTCGACTTTGGTCTTCCCTTCGCCCGAAGCATGGATGGATCATGCACGATTTCGGGTCCATTGTAATTTGGCCAATAATCACGATCAGGAATCGGTTTGAACACCCTATGATACGTGGCGGCGTATTGGTCAGAAGAGAAGAACTTATCCACAAATGGAGCATAAGACAAACTACGTTGTCTACACACGGCTAATACATGGGAGCAAGGAATCTTGTATATCTCCATCTTTTTGCAAGTGCACGTTTTCCGTTGTAGATGGACAGTTTGTTTTCTCCCACCCTTTCCCAACGTTCTGCCACCACAACCGGTCTCCACCTGAAATATACCTCGCCCTAAATCAAAAGGAGTGACAATGTGATGCTTTGCCTTCTCTCTATTTTTTTCAATTAAATCTGTGATGTATGGGGAGTACTCGTGGCCTTGTGTGAGCCTCAACTTACTAGTTTCACGCCTATTCACAAAGTACGCATTAACCCGGTAAAAAGACACCTGGACCAAGGCGGTAATGGGCAAATATCTAGCATTTTTCATGACGCTATTGAAAACCTCAGCCAGATTTGAAGTGATGGTACCGTATCTGTACCCGCCATCATGGTGCAGCGACCACATTTCTGGAGGAATGTTGGCCAAAAATTGTCGTGCATCCCTACTCATTTCACCTATCTTCTTGAACCCACCATCAAATTTTTTTTTCTGATGTTGCCGTGCGGTCCACACAAATAGATTTTTTAAATGAATGTCTTTGAAATGAGTGTGCACATTTGAAGCAAGATGACGGATGCATAGCCTATGATGCGCATAAGGCTCCTCCCAATTACTTCCAACCTCATTCATTGCCCTAACAATACCTCCATGTCTATCTGAAATGACACACAACTCCCTGTTAGTCACAAAATGCCTAATACATGCCATAAACCATGGCCAACTGTCTCCATTCTCGGATTCAACAACTGCAAAGGCGACTGGGAAAATTTGGTTGTTCGCATCACAACTCATGGCCACGAGCAATGTGCCCTTGTACTTTCCATACATGTGTGTGCCATCAATAGTAAGTACGGGTCGACAATGCTTAAAACCAGATATTGATGCCTTGAATGCCCAAAAAACTCTTTGAAACATCATATAACCTGTCGCACCATTGGGGGGTGGGTACCACTGAACAACAGTTCCTGGATTAGAATGTTGGAGCGCTGTCATGAAACGGGGCAATTCGAAATATGACTTTTCCCAACCGCCAAATATTTGTGCTATGGCCTTTTGCTTCCCCATCCATGTTCTCCGGTAAGATACCGTATACCCATATTTTTCCTTCAACATCTCGATGATAGTATGCACTTTAAGAGAAGGATCAGTGCGAATAATGTCAACCACATCTTTACAGATGAATTCTGATGTCAAGGCCACGTGATCTGTAGTGTCGATGTTGCCTACACAAGAAGCAGAATGAGGTCCAGAATAACGCACAATTGTGAAGGTGTCAAGGTTGCCTTTATTCTTTGTGGCGCGTATTCTCCAGGGGCATTGACATTCTTTCTTCCTTTTGCATTGTGCCACCCATTTGTGTTTGTCGGACTCTATCACCCGATAGAATTGGTTCCGTTTGATAGAATACAAGCTCACCATATTGATGACTTGTTCTTTGTTGTCAAACTGTTGACCGACCTCAAACTCACCATCGGGGGTAAACCTTTTCTCACCTGATCCACTCATCCACGCATCAGTAAAACCTTCAGGGAGATCATACATTCTAGTGAAGTGGCTAGACGGGGCAGTTGATGTCACAGTATCACCATCATCTTCATCAGATTCTGTCATGTCGTCACCATTGATGTTCTCGTCTGCATCATCATCACTTCCCTGCCCATCCACAAATGATGCACCGTTGTGCAAATACCTGCCATCCTCCTGTATAACCATGTCTAGTACAGGAACCTTTGACGACTTCCCTGCATTCACCCCTGCAATGACATCATGCCTAGATACACCAGCATTTGATGTCGATTGAGTAGCATTAGCGTCAAAGCATTCCTCAATGTATACCTCCAGCGACGACATATCCTCCATCTGAATTATGCCCCACATATTTGTTATAGCTAGCTCATCAATGAGCGGCATAAGCATGTACTTTCCCCCGTTCATGGGAAATTTCATTTTCAACCGCAATGAACGGCCGGGATGAATCATTGTCGCTGCATGTATTTTTTGAAGGATCTCGACCATGCAAGCGCCACGAGAAACCATGACAAAGCTCGTTCTGCCACCTTCATGGCATATTTGCCCAGCATCCTCATAATAGTTCCCTCCCCAATGACACACGATTGGGAAGCTTGAGAAATCCATATTCTAATAACAATTCATTGTCCAAAATTCAATTGAGTACGCATCAATATACACACTTTATACACATTCAAATTTCCTAAATAAAAAAGCTACCAAAATTGTAATATATTCAAAAGTCGAAATTGACCAACAATTCACATCTCAATATGAAACTACCCAAATTTTGATAACTACATTCAAGTACGTCTACATTTCAATATCCAAATTTAGCTAAAATCAAGTCTATCCAAATGCCCAAATGTCAAAATACACATTAAAATTTAGAATCAATTTAAAATCAAATTTCAACATTTCATACATATCCACATTTCACAACAACTGAATTCACAATCAATTCATAATACAAAAATTCGAAATTTTTAACATTCAAAACCCTAGGTTCAAAATGAGATGAAATGGATTTTGATTTACCTAGAAGAAAGAAGAAAGAGAGATGAAGATGGAGAAGGAGGTTCGCCGGAATGGGGTCGACGGAGAAGGAGGCTCGCCGGAGCTGGAGATGGGTCGTCCTTCGTCGCTCGTCGCTCGTCCGTCGTCGCTGCAGCGGAGGTTTGGGGGGATTTGGGGGAATAAACGCGTTCTGTCTGCGAGCCAACCCGTCTGCCTATTTAATAGGTAAGTCGCCCAACGGTTGGGCGACTTATAAGTCGCCAAACCGTTTGGCGACTTATAAGTCGCCCAACCGTTGGGCGACTTACCCCGACCATGGTTAATCCAGCAGTATTTTGGTAAATACTTTTAACTCAGCCCTAATTTCGTAATTAATTAATTAATTAACATTAATTAGAAAAAAAACTCACATTATACGGAGTACATTTTAATTGAATTATTAAAATGAATTAAATATATATAATGTGTCATAATTTCTTTCTCCTTTTTGTCGTTTTTGATTAGAATGTTTTAATTGGACTCAATTCAGTCCCACACCAGAACAGGAAAGATCATATCAGATCAGACCAATTTAAACTAGAACAGACCAATTTAAACTAGAACAGACCAATTCAAACAGAGGCAGATCCAGAGTAAAGAATATGCATGGGTCGGATTTAAAGAGCATTGGGTCAAAATTGTTAAGGCCATTCCCTACCTTCGGCACTGAGATCAGACTAGATCAGATTTCATTATCTCCAACATACACAGAGATCAGACATCTACCAAGTCAGTTCTGACCAGATTATGTCAGAACAAACTAGACTAGATCAAACCAAGAGATTTTAGACTAAGGATGTTTACTTGTATTGTTTTCAGTCCCAGACCAGACCTGGTCAGACTAGATCAGTCCAGACAAAACCAGAACAGACTTGGATAGTTATAAAAATATACAGAAACGAGACATTTACCAAACCAATCTTAAATCCTATGAAACAAAATGTCCTACAACAAAATGAAGGCAATTAAATTTCATTATCTCATCCCCAATTGTCACTCAAATTTAAACATTCCACAGCCGACTTGTTTTGGAACCGGTGATGTGCCCAGATGGAATAAAATAGCTTGAAGAAACCCTATCACTCATTTCCCCATCGTCAATGTTCCTCGCAATTCTTCAACTATGAAGCGGATGTTAAGAGTCTCACACCATGAATTGCTCTTTCACAATTTTTTTGGAGTTCTTACGAAACCCTCTGCGATTTCATCTCCTTTGGGAGCAGCGGCGCAGTCGTACTGTGCTTCGTCATCGTCATCTCAATACGTATGGCCGAATATCGTTGGTCTGTTCGCAGGAAAGTGGAGCTATGGCGATTCATTAATCATGAATGATCTAAGAGATAAGGTCTCGGAGTTGAGGGATGAGCTAGTGATGCACAGCGGCGATGTTGAAATCCTCCATAAATTATTGGAAGAGAAAGGAAATCCATTGTTTCGAAAGTACCACGATGGTGCTGCTGTTATTGAGCTCATGAGGCAGCTAGGTTCGTCCCCTCAATTAGCCATTGAGGTGCTTTTACTCTCTTCTTTTTGATATCTCAATATCCCAGTTGTTGTTCGAATCCAAAGCAGAGTATATTTACGAAACAAGATGACCAAGGAGTGATTTTTTTACTTTTGTTTTAACATTTACTCGAGGCAATTTATCATCTGTAGGTTTTCAATTGGAGAAGAGAAATAGACTATGCCATTCCTATAGTAGCAGAGGAGTATTCCAAGGGCATTCGTATGGCAGGTAGGTTGCAAAATGTTGAGCTTGCTGCACAGATCTTCAGAGAAGCTTCAAACAAGCAAGTAAAAACAACATCCATCTATAATGCACTCATGGGTGCGTACATGTATAATGGTTTGGCTGTGAAATGCCAATCTATATTTGAAGAAATGAAGAAGGAAGGAAGCTGTTCTCCAACGATAGTAACATATAACATTCTTATTTCTGTGTTTGGGCGGTTATTGCTGGTAGATCAAATGGAAGAAACCTATCGCGAGGTTAAAGATTTAAATATATGTCCTAATCTGACTACATATAACTATTTAATTGCTGGGTATCTTACCTCATGGAAGTGGGATTATATGGAGAAGACATTCAGAATAATGCAAGAAGGCATCATAAAGCCTAACTTATCTACATATTTACTTATGATGCGTGGGTATGCTCATGCAGGCAGCTTGGAGAAGATGGAGGAAACTTATGAGTTAGTCAAAGATCACGTTGATCACAATGAAATCGCATTGATCAGAACAATGATTATTGCTTACTGTAAAAGTTCTGATATGAACAAAGTCCGCAAGGTTAAGGAATTGCTGAAGCTAATTCCGGAAAATGAATACCGTCCTTGGTTGAATGCCCAACTTATACTTTTATACGCAAAAGAAGACCTGTTAGAAGAGATGGAAACTTCAATCAATGAGGCATTTGATCATAACACTACCATAATGACAACTAATGTGATGAAAAGAATAATTTCTTGTTACTACAGGAAGAGTACAATGGACAAGCTGTCTAATTTTGTCAAACGTGCAGAGTGTGGTGGTTGGAAAATTTGCAGATCTCTATATCACTGTAAGATGGTCATGTATTCTTCAAATAGGAGGCTTGTTGAAATGGAAAATGTTCTCGATGAGATGGAGAAAGTGAACCTTGACTGGACAAAGAGAACACTATGGATATTGTATCATGCATATTTTAGATGGGGAGAAAACCGTAAACTTGAGCAAGTTGTGGGGTTGATGTGCAAGCAGGGGTTTGGCATGCCATTGTCTTCATGAAGTTTATAGGGATATGCCACAAACTTGAGTGGTAACTTTTATTTCAGGTCATCGCAGACTGTCTTTGTGGTCTTTTTATTTTTGAGTGGAGGATTTATTCTGTCAAGATGTGCCAATTCATTGAACAATTTTTGGAGCTGCATTAGCTTAACCTTTGCTTTTGAGTGGAGGATTTATTCCTTGAGATGTGCCAATGCATTTAACAGCTCTTGGAGTTGTATTTGCTTAATCTTTCTGATACATTTCCTGTATGTGTGAGCAATTAGCCACATAGCTTAGTGCAAAACAAAGTGACATTTCAGAGTACAATGTTACCCCGGACCCCTTTTCTATATGTGTATAGTGACATGTTTTCCCTTTCAAGCAAGGGTTATCGGAATAAACTACTGTTGTAAGTTTTCCCTTCATTCTCTTTTATGGGTCTCTTTGAAAAGTTGTTCTCTAATAACATTCGCTTTAGGACATTAAAAGATCATCAAACGATCCTTTTCCACATTATCATTCTTCATCCAAAACGCTACTACAGTACTACCTCCATCCCACTATCTTTGAGAAAAGAGGTGGAATGTTTATTAGAAATATAGAATTTTGTGGCTGCTAAAGAATTTTCAAAGAATGACTGAACTTGAACCATACAAATATTGCCTGGGCGTGTACTGGGCCTGGGCGACCCGGGACCGGTAGTGTTTGTACCGGCCTGGGCACGGTCATCCGGGACCAGCACCGACCCAGTACCCAGACCGGTGGGTTAACGGGACAAGCTTCGGGCTCAATTTTATTGGACCGGCCCGGCCGGACCCGGTCCAGGCCCAACGACTTTGCATTAAAAAAATCCATTTAACTTGTTTGGCTGCATACTAGCGGTACGTTGCCAATGGCTATAGGCCTATAGAGCCATTGGGGGGGGGGGCTACATTTTCCTACACCTATTTTCCAATTCTTCCTATTCTCTAATACTCTCTAATCATCTTCATCTTCTCCAATTGTATTATTCTCATTTTAGTTACATTTGAAATTGTTAATAGTAGTTTCATTTTAATTGCATTTACTAGACTTGTTACATTAACATATTAATTAACCATATTTATTAGATATTAATAGTAACCATATTAAAGTTGTTAGATTAAAGTAGTTGCATTTTAATTGCATTGATTATACTCGTCACATTTTATTACTAAACTCACATTTTAGTTACATTTAAATATTAGTTGCATTTTATTATTAAACTCACAATTTAATATCAATGTCACATTTTAGTTACATTTAAATATTAGTTGCACTTTATTATTAAACCCGCATTTTAATATCAAAGTCAGATTTTAGTTACATTTTATTCTTTCTTTCATCTCTTAATGTTATCAACTTGCTATTTTATTTTCTTGATTCACATGCCAAAAGCAAATTTCAGCCTCACAGTTTTGTTTCACATGTTTGCTCTAAGGTTTTTGTTCTAAGGTTTTCAGGCAGCTAAGTTTGTCTATCAGCGACATAGCAAAATATATTTCCAGGTGAAATAGATACGTTGTGGACGATTATGTTTTTATATACATAAAGATAAAGATATGAGAAATAAATAACATAACTATGCATGAAAATTTGACATCAATAAATCATTGTTACATGCCTGTGTTAGATATGGCCAGACCGCCAGACTACATCATTTCAATTAGACTAACTGCAACCGTGGGGTGAATAAGCCATATTTGAGCTTTTCACCCCAAAAATTACTCCAACCCTGCGTATAAAAGGGAGCCAAAGTCGTTTGGGAGAACTGGTGGGGTGGGAATTAGATGGGTCGATCCACCGAAGAGAGAGGGTAAGGAATCACGCTTGCGCAGGAGAAATGGACAACATGCATTAAAAAAGATGTGAGCCCAAGAAAAATAAAAATTCCTATTTTTATTTGTCTTCCAATTTTCACAAAAAATGTACCAAAATTCATAATTTTTTATGATCTTTCATATAACACCAATATTATATAGGATAGTATATAGTAAATAAAAAAAATACAAAGTTCCACTTGCTAGAAATTCTCGGACCTATTTTTTTTAAATAAAATCAATGTTGAAAAATCAAGATCTCATTAATCACTTTTTTTACATAGTTGTTTTTTTAAATAGGTCTAAAGTAACATTGAAAAAAAATTAAACTCCAAATTTATACTTCCAATTGCGGGTTACGAAGTTTGACCAGCGATAAAGTTAAATGATTCCTGTGAAAACTCAGATTATTTTTAGAAAATAATATTTATGATAGGAAACTATCGATCAATGGATAACAGTAAAACAGTAATCAAAGCTCAAGAACAAGAATTTTATTAATGGCAGCAATCTGTTACACAACAGCCCAAAGAAAGAGATAAAACTCTAACTTCCCATCCAAGACAACAAGTCTCAACAAGCCTACTATTTCCGCATCAGGAAATACTATTTATATCCTTCCCTAAAAAGAAGGTGGTTATTAGTTATTAACAGCTTTAACTAATAACAAGACTAGTCTTATTTGGGCCTTCTCGAATACACCAATCCAAATCTGCCCCCATTAGCTGGACTAGTACCCGGGTCCCTATCAATACCTTCCCCTTGAAAAACCAACTTGTCCCCAAGTTGGAATTCAGGGAATTGCTCTTGCATCACTTGCACCTCCTCCCAAGAATCCTCAAAATCAGGGAGATCCTTCCAATGCACCAATATCTCCTTTTTTCCATCTTTATTAATTCTGGCCTTTCTCACCACTTCAGGGCTCACCTGCAGCTCACAATCTTCTGTGAGACAACTGGGAAGATTCTGATGGACTACATTAGGTTTCAGCACCTTCTTCAACAAGGAAATGTGGAATACAGGATGTATTCTACTTCCTGTAGGTAGTTTAAGTCTGAAAGCTACCTCATTCAGCTTCTCCACAATTTCATAGGGTCCATAGAACCTAGGACTGAGTTTCTGATTGATCTTTCTCATTAAACTTCTCATTTTGTAAGGTTGAATTTTTAAGAATACCATATCTCCCACTTCCAACTTCAATTCCCTTCTGTGTTTGTTAGCCTGTTGTTGCATCAAATTCTGAGCTTTAGCAAGATTCTCCTTTAGTTCATCCAACATCAGATTCCTTTCAGTAGTTAACCTGGCCACCTCTTCTACTGCAGTTAAACCCACATCTCCTCTAATGATTGGGGGAGGCTTCTGACCAAACAAAGCTTGGTAAGGAGTACTTTTCAGTGAACTGTGATAGTTTGTATTGAACCAGTATTCAGCCCAAGGGAGCCACTTAACCCACTGTTTAGGTTTTGTACCAGATAAACATCTCAGATAGGTCTCCAAACACCTGTTGACAACTTCAGTTTGTCCATCACTTTCAGGATGGTATGCAGTGCTGTATTTAAGTTTGGTCCCAGCTAGTTTGAACATTTCAGACCAAAATGAGCTTAAGAAAAGGCTATCTCGGTCACTAACAATAGATCTGGGAAATCCATGTGTCTTGACCACTTCTTGAACAAACACTTCTGCCACTCCTTTGGCATTAAAAGGGTGTGCCAAAGGTATAAAATGAGAAAACTTTGTCAACCTGTCCACAACCACCAGAATTGTATCCTTCCCATATGATTTTGGCAATCCACCAATGAAATCCATGCTGATATCAGTCCAAATCTTGTCTGGTATAGGCAAAGGCTGCAGTAATCCTGCAGGCTTTAAAGCTTGATATTTGTTTCGTTGGCAAATATCACAACTTCTTATATAATCTTTGATATCAGCCTTCATCCCAACCCAAAAGAATAGAGTGGAAATCCTCTTCAGGGTCCTGAAGTACCCAGAATGACCCCCCACAGCTGTATCATGATATTCTTTTAAGACAGATAATATTCTAGGACTCCCTTTAGGTAAAACTAACCTTTCCTTGTAGTATAATAAACCTCCTTTTACTCTGAATCCTCTGCATTGCTCCGGTTGACTCAAAATCTTCTGTAAAATCTCTCCATATTTAGGATCCTTTTGTAATTCATCTGCCAATCCCTCCCATTCATGACAAGTAACAGTTGATAGGGCTGCAAAAATTGGTTTTCTTGATAGAGCATCTGCTGCCTTGTTCTCAATTCCTGGCTTGTATCTGATTGTGAAGTTGTAACCCAACAGTTTGGATATCCATTTCTGTTGATCCTCACCCATTATCTTCTGTTCAGTCAGGTATCTCAGGCTCCTCTGATCTGTATGTACTTCAAATAACCTGCCTAATAAGTATGGCCTCCACTTCTGTATAGCAAACACTATAGCCATCAGCTCCTTTTCATAGATGGATTTGGTGAGGTGCTTGGTTGACAGTACTTTGCTCATATAAGCAATAGGACCTCCATCTTGCATAAGTACAGCACCTAATCCCCTTCCAGATGCATCCGTCTCTATGACAAATAGTTTGTTGAAATCTGGAACTCTCAACACAGGTAAGGAAATCATAGCTTGTTTCAGATCAAGGAAGGCTTGTGTAGCCTGTTCATCCCACTTAAATCCATCCTTCTTTAATAGATTTGTCAAAGGTGCAACAATTTTACTGTAATTTTTGACAAACCTCCTGTAATATCCAGTAAGCCCCAGAAATCCCCTAAGTTCTTTCAGATCCTTAGGAACAGCCCAATTCTGCATAGCCATAATCTTATCAGGATCAGCTGCCACTCCCTTAGCTGAAATGATGTGCCCCAGGTAACTCAGTTGTTCTTGGCCAAAAGAGCACTTTTTAATGTTAGCTACCAACTGATTCTTCCTTAATGCCTCCAACACTAGTTTCAAATGTTCTTCATGATCTGCCTCAGTCTTACTGAAAACCAGAATATCATCAAAAAATACTAAGGAAATTTTTCTCAAGTAAGGCCTCAGAACCTCATTCATCAATGATTGGAATGTGGAAGGAGCGTTAGTTAACCCAAAGGGCATCACTAGATACTCGTAGTGACCTTCATGGGTCCTAAAAGCTGTCTTATGTGCATCTTCAGCTTTCATTCTGATCTGGTGATAACCAGATTTCAGATCCAATTTAGAAAAAATTCTAGCTTCCCCCAATTCATCAAGCAACTCTTCAATCACAGGTATAGGGAACTTATCAGGTATAGTAACCTTATTTAATGCTCGGTAGTCCCCACAGAACCTCCAGCCCCCATCCTTCTTCTTAGCTAACAAAATAGGGCTACTATAAGGGCTGTTACTATGCTTGATGATCCCAGATTTCAACATTTCCTCAATAATCTTCTCTATTTCATTTTTTTGGTCAAATGAATATCTATATGGCCTAAGGTTTGGAATCTGTGCTCCCTCTTTTATTCTGATAGCATGGTCACAAGCCCTTGCTGGGGGAAATGGTAAAACAGAAGTAAAAACTTCAGGAAATTCAGCAATTACCTTCCTCCAAGTCTCCTCCATATCTCTCTGATGCTCCATATTACTCATATTTTCTTCCATAACCATCAAGTAACCTTCACCAGTTTGCTGCACTATATTCATCATGGTCTTCATAGAGACCTCCATATTATTGGATACTGTGTCCCCCTTGATTATGCAGTTCCTTCCCTCTTGTTGCCATTTGATGATTTGATTTCTGAAATTCACCTCCATATCTCCCAATTCAGTCAACCATTCCATCCCTAAGACTATATCAGTACCACCCAGCCCTAAGAGATAGTAGGTTTGCTGAATAGGAATGCCCTGGATCTTCAATCTCAGCTCATCACATCTGCCCATATTAGGAATACATTCACCATTTCCTATTTGTACCTTATATCCATGAATTGGATGATAAGGAATGGCCCACTTATCCACCAGCTCTTGTGACAAGAAATTGTGGGTAGCACCACTGTCAATTAAAACATTAACCAGCATTTCCCTTCCCTGCCATTCAGCTCTGCCTTTAACTTTGAAAGTCTGCATGGAAGGAATGCCTTCCTTGCTTAATATACATAGTTGCATGATCTTGGAATCCTTCTGATTTGAAGATTCTGATTGACCCCCTTCAGAACTTTCATCTTCCATATCTGATTCCTCCTCACCTTCAGAGTTTTTAACTAACATCATTTTGTAATTTTTCATTTTGCATACATGCCCCTTTCCCCAGTTATCTCCACACTTGAAACATAATCCTCTCTTACTTCTGTCAAGCAATTCCTCTTGAGATAGTCTGGAACCATTTTTACTGATGTGTTGATCTTTAACCTCCTTGTTTACCTTACTGTCCTCCATCCCTTTGATTGTGCTGTAAGCATTGACCTGATTAACCTTCCAGTTCTTTACATCTCCCCAATTCTGAGATTTATACTGTGTTTTCTTCCTTCCTTCATCCTTATTTCTGACAATCATGGTTTCCACATTCTTATTCTCAATTAAGGTGGCCAGATTCATGACTTTAGCTAATGATTTTGCAGAATAAAGTTTCAGTTCAGCTCGAATGTCTCTTCTCAATCCTTTCAGAAATATACTCCTCAGAACTTCCTCCGTTAGGTGACCTTGAAGAGCCATGGCCGTTTCAAACTGATCTCTGTATTCTAGAGTCGTGCCTTTTTGTTTCAGACTGAACAAAGGCCCGAGCGGATCCTGCACCATGTCTGGTTGAAAACGTTTGGTCATCGCTTTGGTAAAAGTTTTCCAATTCTGACGTGGAGCGTGTCCCTCCCACCATTGAAACCAATTCAATGCCTGATCTTCCATTGCTACGACAGCCACATCAATTTTTTCATCCTCCTGTATCTGGTTCAGCCGGAAATATCTGTTCATCCTTACAAGCCATCCGAAAACATCCTTACCATTGAAGACAGGTAAATCTATCTTCCTTCCTGCTGGTTGCTGACGTTTGTGATATCGATGCTGATCGCGATGAGTTTGCGATACAGAGTGATCGGAATTATGATCTGAACCCTCCGAAGTGTCACTGGTCTTCGTATGCCGATGTCGCTGGGCTGTATGATGCGAAGTCGTGGATTGGTGAGATCGACTCCTCGATCGATCAAGCTTCTGCTCCTTAATCTCCGCGAAACCAGCTTGCATCCTTGCGATTAGTTCTTCGAACTTCGCATTTGTCTCTTGCTGATTCCTGTCCATGTTCCGCTCGATCTCAGTCATTCGCCCTTCCATCTTCTTTCTCGTTCCAACCATTCACAGTCTCGACGAGTCTCTGATACCAATGATAGGAAACTATCGATCAATGGATAACAGTAAAACAGTAATCAAAGCTCAAGAACAAGAATTTTATTAATGGCAGCAATCTGTTACACAACAACCCAAAGAAAGAGATAAAACTCTAACTTCCCATCCAAGACAACAAGTCTCAACAAGCCTACTATTTCCGCATCAGGAAATACTATTTATATCCTTCCCTAAAAAGAAGGTGGTTATTAGTTATTAACAGCTTTAACTAATAACAAGACTAGTCTTATTTGGGCCTTCTCGAATACACCAATCCAAATCTGCCCCCATTAGCTGGACTAGTACCCGGGTCCCTATCAATTTACATATTCAGAAATTACATCAAACCCGCTACAAAGCCTGCAAAAAATAATTCACTTTTTATAAAATTTTGATATATAAAGTAAGAGTTTAAGTGTGATTTAAGTTGACCCTCGAAAAGCGGAATGAAAGTTTGTTTAGGGACGCAGGGAGTATAATTTTACATCGGAATGTTTGACTTTTTAAATCATAATTATTCACAAAAAAGTATTATAAAATTTTTGATGTATAATAATAAAAGTAGGATTTTACTTAAAAAACATTTGTTGAATGAAAATATTGACGGTGCTGGATTGCAGCAAAAACTGACTTGACAGAGTAAATATGTATAAATTGGTGTGAAATTTAACTTATTGACGGAGATGAGTTGCGGTTAGCCTTAGAGGAGACAAATAGATAGTATATACGGAGTATAAATTACTCGAGCTAGACTAGACAAAACCGAAATGGACTAGAATAGATCATGTCTACGACTACGACTACGACTCATACAGAATCAGATTGAGCATGTCTACGAGTCCTGCCTTATTTCAAAATGTTAATTTTTTTTTGAAAATGTTAATTAAACCCAAAATTTTGATAGGTATTCTATTTATTGTGACAGATGAAATATTCTATATGTGTTCTATTTATTAAATTTTGAAAATGTCTTAAAATAAATACAATGAACTTCAAAGTTTTGGTAACGCATTTAATTGAGTATTAGTAAAATGATAAACAATTCATATTCTATATTTTACATTGAAAATAACAATATTAATGAAGTAAAGATGGATATATTTGAAATACCTCAATATTTATTTGTACAATTGAAAATATAGAAGAAATAAGAGGTGGTTAAAAGGTGCAGTGGCGAAAGTGTTAACACGATTAAGGATAAGTGTAAGAAAGTGTAAAACAAAAACTTATCTTATTTGCGAGATTTAAAAAGACGATTTTTTATTATTGAAATTGACTGTTATAAATTTTGTTATGAATCGATCTATCTCCGGTTCAGGTCTCCAACCCCTAGCTAGACTTACACTGTTACACACACCACTCCAGGTTAGGTCCACTCCACCTCTCACCATGTTTACCCTCACAAGCTCCCACACAAAGGGGTCTCAAGAAAGAAGGAGAACACTCTGCTCTCAACTTTTGTATCTCACGAGTCACGCCACACTGGAAGAAAAGAGGCTCCAGGCTATTATATCGGGAAGCCAACCAATGATCCAAAGTCACGAGAAAACAAAGACTCACGGGCAACACTAACAAGAGTGTGCAAACTGCAACGGACAAACTTAGAGGGCCAAATCCAGATAAGAGGCGAGTCAACAAACTAGAAAATTGGTCAGGCCGGGAGTAATTATCACGGGTACAAGAAGTGTGGGAGTAAACATGGGATGCAAGGTCTTAAATAAAATGGAAGGGAGACCTTGGTAAGACCAACACCTCCAACAAAATTAAACTTATACGTATTATGAAATATGTTTTCACTCAATGTTGATTGCTTTCAATTCTACTAGTTAGTGGGCGAAGAGATTACATTAGACAGAGCCGACATAAAGATTTTTCAAATGATGTTTAACACAAATAATTTTTACGCACAAGATCAATATTTTTACTAAATATGGAGCGGGCCAAGCTTAATATGCCTTTCTTGGCTACACCCTACCATTAGCCATATACTCCTTGTTATACTTCTTGTCCCATTGAACTTAATCAAGATGGACTTGAATGTGAAATAAGAAAGTAAAACTTTTGTGGTTGAGAGTTATGTAGAGGAGAGAGAATTAATTTTGATCTCATATTTATATTTTAAATGAAAATGAAAAAAAAAATTGACGTGTCTAAATTAAAAAAATCCACAAAATTTTATGGACAAAAAAAGTATTTCACTTCAAATAAAAGAATTTCAGATATTAATATATAATTCTATTATACGGAGTATATAATAGATGCATATATATGACATACTATCGTATATGTTAGCACTTATCAAACGAAACCCATAAGATATCAGCAATACTATGAATATGCCATATACTGAGAACCAAGATAGAAATTTGAGGAAAAGATGGAGTAACAATGGAAAAAGCGGGGATAGAGAAATTGAGGGGTGTTTGGAAATGATTCTCCTTCCGCTTCTTTTTTAAAGTAGAAGAAGAATCAGAATCAGTTTTAAGAAGCTGATCACCCTCAGTTTCTAAAAAAAACTGATTCTAGGAATAAAAAAGAGCACCGGAATCACTTTTGCTCCTTGAGGGAGCAAAAACAATTTTAAGAATCAGATCCACACACCCCTTGATTGTCCAACACTCAAATAGTAAAATACCCAAATTAGAATGTTAAGAACATGAAATATTATACAATAAACATGAAAAATTGATGCAGAAAGAAATTTATACTTCCGTCTCATTTTATGTGTTCCACTTTGACTTGACACCATTATTAATAAAGTGATTGAAATAGTAAAAGTTGTAATCGATATTTGAGTATAATAAAGTGAAATGTTGTAGATCACATATTTTTTTCAAAAGGGAAAATGAGATATTTATTTTGGAACAAAAAAAGTAGGACATGTAAAATGAGACTGAGGGAATATAATTTTCATCCAAACAAATGTTTGCATGAAAAATTGATGTAAAAAGAAATTTATATTCCATCACAAATGTTAATAACAACCATTTTTGACTCTCCATTGTTAACCCCACTCCTCCCAAACACACCTTAAACAAAGGGAAGCACTTAACCCGACACATGTACACAATAAAATCATCAAAGGAATATCAGTACAGATTCGGTTCGCTTTTTCGTGCCGAATAAAAATGGGGAATGTCAATGGGAAGGAAGAAGAAGACGGCAATGGTAACAGCCCGTCTGGAGGTGAAGAGACCAGCGACGGCTGCCGTGGCGGCGCGGCACTGGATAGTGTGCAAATGGATGGTGAGTTCATGGGTCAGTCTCCCCCCTCCAGCCCCAGGGCATCTCGTTCTCCTTTGATGTTCCGACCTCAGGTCTGTTGATATCAATGTATATTTATTGTATATTCATATCCGGGCAGCATTTTTCCATTCGTAGAGTCATTTAGCATATTATTTTTTGAAATTGGACGTGGAGCTACAAAGTTGTGGATGCATTTTGTTATAATTGCGGCTTTGAGATATGAATTGGATAGATCTGTACATGTTCCACAACCTTTTCTACCGTATGCGTGACAGCAAATTTGAAAAATTCGCAGGAGTTGGTACAACTGACAATCGCTGTTAGATCTAGGGAATTAAAATGATAGGAGTAATAATTTTCGAACTGAGTTCGTTGGATCTGTTCGATGAAAAATAAAAAGATGCCTTGTCTAGAAAGTGTTAATTTGTGTATTTATTTGTAATTTGTACATTTTTCAATTTTGTGTGTATTTTTGTCAATCTGGGAGAGACTAAGCCAATCAGGTGCTTAGATGTTCCATGCTTAAAATTACTGAACAATTGACATTGTTATAAGTTTTAGAATCATCAACCCTTTTCCCTTTTATTATAATTAAGTGATCTTGATGATCTTTCTTAGGCGGATTGGCTTGATGTTTATCTTCAACTCCCCTCAAGTATACCATTGCAGTACTGTTTGTGCATGTAATATGTCTCAATATCAAATTTTGCTTATGAAGAATACGAGTGCTTTGCAAGGCCTAAAGTAGATGAAGTGTCTTGTTCTGAATTATTTTTAAAAGATATTCATTTTTACATATTAATTAATTTAGTTTATTTACAAAATGTATTACTCTATAAATTTCTTTATACAAACTTAAGAGATGAAAGAAATAACACTAATTATGCAATTTTTTGAAGATGTAGACTGCAGGTAGCTGAAATGGATGAATAGGCTATATTTTCTGAGTTATGAAAGATATTTATAATACAATTCTTAAATAAACTAAATAATTTAGTATATAAATATGAATATAAAAATGTTATTTTCTTGGATGTTAGGGAAAATAGCAACTTTTGTACTGTTTTTTCCCATTTGGAACCGAATACAACAACATTACCCCAGTGCCGTAAAGGTTCCCACTTACGTAGAGACTGTTACCGGATGATCTATGATGAAAATTGCGTTGAAAATCACATGGACTGGCTGCTTCTTCATAACAAAGAAGTGCATATAGCTTAGTGAGCCATTTTGCTGTATTCCATCATATTCCCAAGTCAAAAAATAACTAGTCTTTGGCTCCATTGGAAATGATGGAACACATTTGGAATTAATTAAGCCAATATAATAACATTAGTTAGTATTTGGTGAAAAAATCTTGCTGACAAGGCTTATAATCCAAAAAAGAGATCACTCAACGGGCTCTAATTTCAATCTTTAATGTAAATAATGCTTGATTCTACGATATGTTCCTAAATGTTGCAAATGAACAATGCTTCGCATTCTGATTTTTTTCAATTGCTTGCAAATATTGCTGAAGATGCCAGTGGTTCCTCTACAAAGACCAGATGAAATGAACATCCCTAACCCTCCATGGGCACAAACTGCTTCAGGATGTGACGACACGCACGTTGAGCACACAATTCCAACTGTAATAACATGGAGTAGGGGTGGAAATGAAGTTTCTGTGGAGGGATCATGGGATGATTGGAAAACGAGGTATATCATATTTGTGCGCCAATTTATTTCCCCATTAATTTTCATTTTGTATCTGACGCTTTATGTTTGCAAGGGACTTAGCTCTCTAAAAACTCTTTTGTCAGGAAGCCTTTGCAGAGGTCCGGGAAGGATTTCACCATTTTGAAAGTGCTCCCTTCAGGATTTTATCAGTACAGGTTGATAGTTGATGGGCAGTGGAGGTATTCCCCTGATGTGCCATTTGTCACTGATGAAGCTGGAAATTATTATAACGTCTTGGACTTGCAGGTAAATTCATAATTTCCTTCCCAGCTGTTCGGCTGTCACAATTATCCATTTCTAATATTCAGCTTTGTAATTATTATTGTAATGTGATTCTTTGTGAGGGTGTGTGAATGCAATAAAAAATAAAAAACTCAAGATTCTTCCACCAGGACTAATGTTCAATATCCAGTTACAAATCTACGAGTTCTTCACAAAGTTCTGGACTTTTTGTTATTATGCTTTCATGTTAAATAAGCAGCTATCTTCAATGCACTAGTTTACCCAAAAATTTAAGAAACTTTGTACTTCGTATCTCTTTTATGGAGTGATATATGTTTACTTGGAATAACGACCACCATACACTAATACAGAGATCACCAATTTGTTTTTTCCACATTATGTTTTTTTTAAAGAAAAGTCTAATATTTTATTTCTAGAAAGGCTTTCATTGAACTGGGAAGGGTGAGTTTTGTTTAGTGCTAAATCCTATAATAGTCGCCAACGGGTGACTGAAGGTTGGCATAGGAAGGCTATAATAGTGCCTGTGAGCCAAATTAATTTTTCTGTAACAAAGGTTGACAGAGAGGGACTAAAGCAAAATTGGGTAAAATTGGGACTAAGATGAATAACTGAAAATAATTTTGTAGGAACCTAAAACAATACCACAAGTTACAGTGACAACAAACACATATTGAAGCTTTCCATCTGGTTTCTTTTGGATAATTTGAAAATTGAAAGGGTTTTGCCTTTTCATGATATGTGTGTTGCTAAGCAGGATTATGTCCCAGAAGACATACAGAGCATATCTGGTTTCGAGCCACCTCTATCCCCTGATTCAACATACAGCAACCCGCAACTTGGAGCCGAAGACTATGCCAAGGAGCCACCCTTAGTGCCTCCACATCTCCAGTTGACCCTGCTTAATGTTCCGTCATCTCAATCGGAAATCCCACCTCCGTTCTCAAGGCCTCAACACGTCGTCCTCAACCATCTCTACATGCAGAGGGGCAGAAGCAGCACCCCGTCCGTGGTAGCCCTCGGTTCTACTCATAGGTTCCACTCCAAATATGTGACAGTTGTTCTCTACAAGTCCATAGAGAGATGATGACTATACATAAAAAGTAATTAAAGATTTTGGAATTCCCATCCAGTTTTCGAAATTTATGAAATATCATCGTTACCCCCCCCCCCCCCCCCCCACCCAAAAAGAATATCTTGATTGTAGCCCTCTTTTTCATGCAAAAAATGTGGCTTTCAAGCATAGTGGCGGAGGAGTATAAAGGGAAATAACATGGTCAAATATTGTTGTCTTGAACCATTTCCTTGGGAATGTGGCAAGTTATGCTATTGAATACTAGGTTTTGTGTGTCTTTGTGCCGTTTGTGGTGGAGGATAAGTGTACAACAAGGAGTATTGGAACTTGGAAGGCCATGAACCCGTGCTGCATTTTTTTAAAATCATAATTATAAGGGTTTTTTGCTTGGATATTACTAATTTTGAACCAATTACCCAAAAAATAACCACTTTTAAAAAGAGGCAAAAAAGTGATCAAGAAGGTCATATATGTGCAATTAGAAAACATGATGTAACTGCAAAAATTTTATGTCACTGCGTGTTCGTTTTTTTGTAACTACAACCACCGCCCGTGTCACTACAACCACCGCCCGTGTCACTGTAGCCACCGCCCGTGTCACTGTAGCCACCGCCCGTGTCACTGTAACCACCGTCCATGTCACTGTAGTTATTGCCCGTGTCACTGTAGCCACCACCCATGTCATTGTAACAAAAAAAAGTGACTAAGAAGGTCACATATATGAAAAAACGTGATATCACTGTTTTTTTATGTCACTGCCAAATTTTTACTCCGTATATCAGTATATCACTATTGTGTGTCACTATTAAATTTTTATGTCACTTTTGAAGGTCACTATAACCACCGGAAAATTTTCCGACAACCTTTTCCCGCAACCGTTTCATATCACTGTATTTTAGTGTCAATTACGAATGTCACTATCCATTTTAATGTCACTTTTGGACATATGGATGACACGGCCGCCGGAAAACATGTCACTGTGATTGTTTTCTATAAGCGAAATTGCAGCCACCAACACCACGGCCGATCAACCGCCAGCCCCGACTCCACATTGGCACTTAACACCATCGGGCAACCACCATCGTTAACAACCACCGCCCTAACCGTTACCACACCAGCCCACCAGCCCACCAGCCCCATCTCAACCCAACCAGCCCCCTGTCAAACCCCCACCTCAACCAACCAGCCCCCTGTCTAGCCCCCCCACAACCCACCAGCCCCCTGTCCAGCCCCATCACAACCCACCAGCCCCTGTCCAGCCCCACCACAACCCACCAGCCCCCAACCCCCTCCCCAGCACACCAGCCCCTCCCCAAACCCACCAACCCCCTCCGCAGCCCACCAGCCCCCCTCCTCAGCCTACCAGCCCCCCTCCCCAGCCCACCACCCCCCCTCCCCAGCCTACCAACCCCCCTCCTCAGCCTACCAGCCCCCCTCCCCAGCCCACCAGCACCCTCACAGCTCCCATCTCAGCCTCCCTGATCTGATTCCTCTCAATGCCGGAAAAGAAAGAAGGAAATCCGCAATCACCATAGTCTCACCATTGCTGAAAGAGAAGAAGAAAGAAGGAAAAGAAAAGTGCAGATGGTAAATCGGTGAGGTGTGCAGCCACCGGATCGAAGCAGATCGACAGATGCAGAGACGATCGGAGGAGGCAGCGGCGATGCCGAGGCGTCTAGCGGGCGGGCGGAGGCACTGCAGAGATAACCGGTGGCGATGGCAAGGCGGGTGGACGAAGAAGGTGAGGAGCCGCTCGACAGATCCAAGGCAGAGATGGCGATGATGAAGGAAGATGCTCTGCGAAGAAAGAAGATCGCTCGTAGATCTGAGGCGAGACGGAGGCGGAGGCGGAGGCGAGACGGAGTCGAGGCCGGCGGTTTAGCAGAAGAAGGAAGATGCTCCGTGAAGAAACTCACTGGGAACAAATGGGCAGAGAAGTGCGCACGCGGAGAAGAAGTGCGATTAGTAAGTTTTGCGGAATGTTAAAAAATGGTCATGTTTTTGCCCAACAGAAGCTCGGGAGTAATATTGGTGCCATTATTTCTAATTATAATTGAGGTAAATTGATTTAGGGGTGGACTCGGGCCGGGCGGCCCGGAACCGGCCCGGCCCGGTCCGGTACTGTTTGGGCCCGGTCCGGTCCGGTACGAGTATTGCATTTTTCAAAATAGGAACCGGATCTTACCCGGCCCGTTTGAAACGGGTCGGTCCGGATCGGGTTTTTCGGTTCCTATTTCTATGTCTTAAAAATAGTAAAAACTTACAAAGTTCAAAAAAACAATAATCAATGATCAATAATATAGTACATTGACAAGTTTCAAAATAACAACATACCGGTGCACATTAAACACAAGTGACAATTTTAATACTTAGTAACTTTATATATCTAAGTTCACAAACAATATGATCATCAATTACTAAATCCTATTTATATGAAATTGTCACTTGATGAATTTTCATACTTTCAGTGAACAACCGATTAGCGAAGTTGGAATTAAACAAGTCCTTGATGAATTTCTTTCCTACTGGACTTTAGGACGATGAATGCCCGTGTGGCATGTGCAAATCATAATCACTAAACAGTAAACATAGAAAGTTTGTAATATCTAAGGACAAAGTCAACTATTTATAAATGTAAACAAGTCGTTTTAATAACAACCTAATGGGCTAAGTAAACTAACTTGGCAGAGGCCAGTGTATTAAAAAATTACTTTACACTATATATATAACGGGCCGGACCGGGTACCCGGTATATTTTTATTTTGGAACCGGTCCGGGTCTTAAAAATAAATTACCCGGACCTACCCGGACCGTTTTGGACCCGAACCGCCATTACTCGGACCGGACCGCGGTTCCAAGACCCGTTTGCCCACCCCTAGATGGACCGGTTATTCTATGCATGCACTTTCACATGTTTTAATCCTATTATGGCAATTTTCTCTTGTTATTATAGTAAGATAATTTTATTTTTTAATATTTATGTATACTAGTGATAACTATACATATTGAGTTGTTAGGATTTATTTGATTGGAATGAAACTTTTTGGTCTGATCTGGTCTCATTAAGTCTGTTCTGGTCTAGTAAATGTCTAATATTTGTGCATTTAATAATTGTCCAAGTTTTGGTCTGGTCTATCTGTTTAAGTCTAGTCTAATTTGGTCTGAGATTAAAAGCAATCCAAGTAAATACATCCTTAATGTGTAAAATTATACTCTGTATTAATACTCTGTATTAATTCATTCAATCAATTGCATGTGCCTAAAATGATCATGCATGTACACCACACTATATTGTGTGCTACCCTAATTTCTGCCAAAAAACTTGAATTCTAAATCCAAAACAGAAAACACAATAATTTGGAAGTCGTTTGTTAGCAGTCGGAAGAACATTCTATTCCATTTCTATAACTTGTGCGGTAGACTGGTAGAGGAGAATAAACTCCTTGCAAGTGCATATGAATTTAAACAATACATTCTTAAATGCTCTATTCAAAAGGAATTGATAGAGGAGAAAACAATGGGGACGAAGGCATGCGACACATAACCAAGTTAAGATATCAAACACGACGTCATATATGATATATGGTTCCTATGGGTCGAGTGGGTGAGGCTATACTAATGGGACGATAGACGACGTTTTGTTAGAGATATGTACAAATTGGAAAGAGTTACATACAATGACTTAAACACAACACCGAGGACAATTCATATACATATGGATGTATAGGAATGTCCGTACGGACAAGGCTGTCAAAGGGTCCTCCAGGTGGAGTTTTTTGATGAATTTTTATGTACATGTTCTTCATCATGTCTAGTTTATGCCCACCGAATTTCACCTCAAAACTTTATCTGGAAAGTAGTTAAATAAATTATTGAAAAAATTGCGCTTTTATATGTATACTTTGGCACATTTTTTTCCAATAATTTATTTAACTGCTTTTCCGATGGAGATCTAAGCTGAAATTTGGTGGGCATAAACTAGACATGATGAAGAACATGTTCAAAAAAATTCACTAAAAACTTCTACCGGGAAGGCCCTCTGACGGCCTTGTTCGTACGGACATTCCTATATATTCATATGTATATGAATGGTCCTCAACACAAGTATATGTGAACTAAGCTATACTATTATAGCAACAAAAAAATTTTGGGACGTCTAACCGTGTTTGAAGTAGAAGAATCGAACCACTGACTGTTAGTCCCTTTGATCCATAATGTCATGAATCTACCACATGACATGTTGAATAAGAGACAACACTTCACACAACTTTTATATTCTTCAATTTTAAAGACATTTTTTTTTCAATCTTAAAGGCGGAATTGCTCAATACTCTGACGCGACAGAATGTTGAAGGAGTAAGTCACGATTTCTGAGTGAGATGGTCCAGAGCCTTGTGCGCACAAGGAGTCACCACATTGAATGAAACTCCCACACTGCCGGTGTCGAGAATTGAACCTGAGACTTCAATCCAATAACCTCACTCAGCCACCGTTGAGCTACCCGTGTTGGTAACTTTTGTATTCTTCTATTTCATGGATGGTGCTTTAATTTTATCTGTTTGCGAACCATAAATGTGGTTGTATTTCAGCAAACAATAACCTATACACTATAAGTCAGAACAACACAAATAACATACGAGTATAATACTGGAAGAAAATAAGCATTTTTGCTCAAATTAGATCCATGACTTTAAAAGTATGATTATTGTTTCTAGCTCATTCTAATTCTTCCCACCAAAGTTGCTGTACATAAACTCGTTTGAGATATGACAAACACTCAACCGAATGGACTACAGGGCGGACAAGAAACATGTACTCAATGTGAGCAAAACCAAAGACATTAATTTTTTTTTTGGATGAAAGGTAAGTATATTAAGAACACCCAAAAATAACATTTTACAATGTATCAAAACTATCTAAGCTAGTACGAGAACTAACAAAATAGTATCCAACCATTGAATTCCAAAAAGGCACAGGACAGGCCCCCGGCACATATCACAAAAAGAAATCAAATCCAGCCTGCAACGGCCCAATCCAAACTGCAACGCAGTATCACAATTAAAATTCCAGGCCCAAGATCCCAGCATGCATCAAAACCCAAAATAGTATCAAAGCTGACAAGGCAAAAGGCCCAGAAAAGTGAACTCCAGCAGCCCAGCACCAGCCGAAGTCCAGCCCAGAAGCCCATCTGCATCCCATCGAGCTAGGGTTTGCACCCAGTATCGTCCCAACAGTAGCCTCGCTACACTCCGCGCCGCACAACGCATAATTTCAAAATTTTGAAAGTCAACCTGACAGCCCGGCAACGTGGCCGTCTGTCCGTCACTCAGTACCCCCCCCCCCTCCCTAACCGCCCCACCTAGCTCCGGCATCCGCTAGGCTTTCCGGTGGTTGGAAAGAGGGTACGAAAACCAGCCGGAAGAGAAACAAAGCCAAACCGAGACCCTTCTCCCACCACCCACACCCGTTGGACCCCGGCGACCCCCAACGGAAACAGCAGACGGCGTCAGAAGGCGGTAGAGCAGTAGCCGGAAAACAGGGCAGCGACAGGCGGATCCAACCACGGCAGACCGTTCGTCTTCTCCGGCGAACCTGACCGCCCTCCAAGCATGAAACACCAAATACTTCAATCCAGAAGAAACTCCATCGGTTAGCAATGTTCGCTCATCACCCTCCAATCAATTTCTCCGGCGAACCCTCCTTCGTTGTAAAGAACCAGGCATCCTCAAAACACCGAACCTCATTTGCCGGCGAAGAACCCCCAACCGAGAACTGAGAGCCACGTTCCTGCCTTCTGGGGGCTTCGTTTCGCACCAGTCCACCACCAAAACACCTTTACGTCACCAAATCACCAAATCAAAACCCCACGGCCGCCAATCAGTGAAGCTATGGTCCAGCACTCCCGGTGACCCTTCCAGCAGCGATGAAGCTCAACAGTCCGTAAGTCAAGCAGCAGCAACCGACCAAACAACCCACAAATCCACAGAAAATTTTCCAAAAAATCATAGACAAGACAACCTTGGAGCCCACCGGAGCCGTGAGGGCTCCGGCGGCGGCGACCGCCGTGAGTGGCGGTGCCGGCGAGTGGAGGAGAAACTAGAAGTTTTCTAGTGAGAGAACAGCTCTCAACTCCCCAAAGACATTAATTTAATGATAGTAACAGGGGCGGAGCTAGAGCACTAGACCGGACTGGACCAATACAAAGAATATTTTTTGAAAATTTTTTACACTGAATTTTTTACACTAAAAATACAAACATTTTTAAAATTTGGGCTGGGTCAGGGCCAGGGATGGCCCTCCCCTAGCTCCGCCCATGGATAGTAAGATTAATATATTACTGGCTGGATAAATAATAATTTTGTTTCCCTAGCAGAGATGTATTTTTTTACATTTTTTGCTTGCTACCTTTAATATCTACTCCCTAGTAGAGTTGTCAATGGTTGTATTTTTAAATCTTGACAAAATCAATTACTCTCTCTATTACCTATGTGTTAGTCAACTTAATTTTCTTTTTAATTGTTTCTACTTTAAAAAAATGATTTTTTGAAGTGATTTTAGAGAAAGTGTTTAATAGTGAAAGTTAGTCGTGTTTCAAAAAATGCTTTTGAAAAAGTAAAACTGGATAGTGTTTGATAAAATAAATGTTTTTTGTGCAATAGAAAAAGTAAAAAGCACTTTAAAACACCTCTCAACGTGCTTTTAGGTGCTTAATTTAAATAGAAATTGCAAAAAACACTCATTTCAACTTTTTTGTCTAAGCGTCACTTACTTTTTAAGTAATTAATTTGTCTTATTCATTATCTCTTCTTTGCAACTTCACAAAGTAGGTCTTATTCATTATTCATAATTAATTTGCCGTTAAAAGATAAAAATATGATTTGTTTAAAAAAAAATTCTAAAAAAGTGACATATTCCATAACTAATTTCAACGACTCATCATCTATCAGTAACTTATTACTTTGAAAACACTATAGTGATACTCTTGCTCAGTTACCCGTACAGTGACTAGTTATAATTTTGTGCAAAACATAAATAGTCATATTTTTGTTCGGAGAAACTCCAATAGTAATAATATACATGTCATTTTTTCTACTTTTTAAGTAATTAATTTGTCTTTTTCATTCTCTTCACGTGTAGGTCAACTGGATAAGTTATACTCCCTCCGTCCCAATTTGATGATCCCATTTCTTTTGGGCTCAAATATTAAGAAAGTGGTTGAAAAGGTAAAAGTTGTGGTTGAGATTTGAGTATAAAAAGGTGAAATGATGTGGACCACATATTTCTTTCCAAAAAGGAAATGGGACTATCAATTTGGGACGGCCCAGAAAGGAAATACGAGATCATCAAATTGGGACGGAGGGAGTACGTAGTAAGAGATAGAGGGAGTGTTAAGTTAAATACCGTTTTTTTCTGTTAGCGTTACACTGAATTTGAGAACTGATTTTGCTGATCTGATATAAAAAATTACACATACTTCATCAATTAATAACCATCTTTCTTCACAAACTGCTGCACCCAAACGACAATTTCTTTTTTTAAGAAAACTCCATGAACCAATTTACATGGTTCTTCTGCTACCTGACTTGCCTACTTGAAAACTGGGCACCCTTTGACCACAACTCCGGGAGCTGTGGGGCAAGTCGCTAGAGGGCAGTGATCCAACTCCGCCCCCCACCATTTCAAATTCTTGTGCTCATTCTGCAACGTGAAAAACAAAAGCACGGCCATGAAAGCGGTGCCTGCATCCAGAGCAGCGGAGAGGACATAATTGTACTTCTTCCACCACCCCTTCCTGAACTTGAACACAAAGTAGTTGAAAAACAATCCAGTCACGATCCAGCTAGCAATGTTGGTTGGAGTAGCCGGGGGCATCCCTGCAAATCCGTAAGAAATGACCGGTATATTGATCAGGGGTATCCATTTCTTTTCCGGGTATATTTTGCTCAGTACCCAAACAGGCACTGGCAAAACTGCTCCAATCAGGAATAGCCAAACCAGGTTTCTATATAGTCCACCCGGTCCAAACAATCGTTTTGGTCCAATTAGTCCCCAGATTACAGAGGCATCGAATGTGACTCGGAACTTCGGGCATGTCCATGGGCTGTCTGGATGAAGTGCCTCAATGTCACATATGTTCTCAATGCTACCCAGCATCCACCAGCACACAGCTAGGTTGACCACACCGGAGACAATGGTTCCCACTAGCTGAGAAAGAAATGAAAGACACTTTGAACAACTCATCCCAGATTTTAGTGCTTTAACCTTTGAATTAAGGTGACATTTGGTGACACTTAACGGTGATTAACCCAAAACATATTTGATTAAAGGAGTATTATCAATTAAGATCACAAAAGATAGGTTAGCTTTCAATTAAAAATCTGGAAGATGAAACCTAGTAATCCAAGACTTGAAAACCAAGAATTGGATTCTTGTTAATCTTATTTTTTTATACACCATTCAAATAATCAATTTAAAATGCCTTCACGAACGTTTATCTTGGATCGGTAGTCTTTCTATGGAGTCTGTGTGTGGGGAGTACACACTACCAATGCACAGTTTTCACTTTTGAAGTCTTGAATTGACAGAAAACCTTTTTTTTGTGTCCCTAACCAATAAAAGTACACGATTAACTTGCATTACATTTCATTTCGACTTACCTGAGCGGTGTACATGCATCGTGGAGGAATTTTCAAATAGTGACCGAGCTTAAGGTCAGCTAGGAATGAAAGAGTATGAAGTGTGCTGATCCTTCCATAAATCTTGAAAAGCAAGTTAGCAATAGGTTTTCCTGGAAGGATATACCCAATTATGAATTGGGCAATGATGTCATACCCTGGTTGCTGCAAAGAATACCCAACACCCTCATCAGTCATTTAGGTGTGTGGATGAAATTTGAAACGGATAATCTTGTAGGAAGAGTAGTCCAAATGTTTTCTAAGTTGGTTTGTATTTTTTTTAGATGCTGGATAACTTAAAATTTGAGGCTTTACCTGGTTTGTTGTTGCTTGAATGACACCTATGGGGAGACTAACAACAAACGCTAGAGCAAATGCAAAGAGCATTGCCCACCACGGAATCTGAACGGTTTCTTTCCAAACAAAGCACATCACAAGAGAAAGGCAAGTGCTGGCAAGTAATAAAATCAAGAACCACCATTCAGGAACTTGCTTGTAACTCCTCATTAGTTTGGTGTGGATATCCATCTTGACATTTTTAGCAGCAGATCTTGTTTGCTTCCAAATATCACTAACAAAAATTAAATGAAAACAAAAAATTAATTTCAACCCATTTGATTGGTGGCAAAAGTAGCCTAATTTTAACACCCCATATGGCTAGACGCATCGTGTAAGGACACACTCCACGGATTTTGGACTGCAATATTATCTAAAAATGCACATACCCTAATAGCCCGATAACTCATCCTTACAGTGTATTTTTCATTTCTATAGGGGGCCTATATTTTGTTTACGAATCATATAGCTTTCAATACTTTCATTTATTTATACCAAATACGAAGAATAGCCCATGATCATGTACATTATGTTAATTCACATTGATATGAGACAAACACTATAACACAATCTCAAATAAAAGCATAATAATAGGCTGGCAATCACTAACCTGCCATTAAAAAGAGCCACATGTGTCAAGGTTGCAGTAAACCGTGCAAATCCAGACCCAATTGATAGGGCGAAAAGAGGACTAAGGTAGAGCTTGCTGTAACTCTCATAAGCAGCAATGTTCAAATCAAATTGAGGGGTCAACACCTTAGTGGTATCATATTTGCTCCCAGCAGAAGTGAAGAGTTGGTTGGAAAATATGGGAAATTTGAGGGCGTCAAACGTGTTGAATTTCCAGTAACACAGAGGGACAATCACATAAATGAACATAATGAAACCAATGGCAACGTTCAGAATTGAGGACCATGGTGTGACTAACGGGCTCCCATGGTAAGCTGAAATCCCAGCCCAGTCAAGAGTGAATGCACCCACGCCTAGTCCGTGGTATGCCGACCCGATTTGCTGAGCAGTGATGCTACGCGGCCATACCCAGCAAACCCATGAGAAGAAGGTCAAAATTGGAAACAAATAGCCTGGCAATGCATAGTATAGGAAACTTCCTCCCATTACTATAAGGAAAAACTTCATCCTGGTTAATCCTCTTGATTTCACTTCCTTTTCATGGAGTGCCCTGAGGACACAAAAATAGAAACGCATTGAATAAAAATGCAATGCTGATTATGAAATTATTTATATCTCAAAATATTGAAAAAATAAATTCAATATAGTGAGAAACTCAGACCTAAATAAAGAAACTTGAGCAAGGTTTGATGGCCACCACATATCTACTGGATCAACCAGGTACCTTCTCAGCACTCCTGCCCATCCATATCCTATAAGCTGCATTGCAACAAAAACATCTGTATAACAAACTTCAAAAAAGTGTCCCATAATGAGAATATATGCATCTCCCTTATCAATTGTTTATTGAAATCAATGAATCACGGGTACAAAGTCAAACATTGGGACAAACTATGGGGTCAAACCCTCAAAGTCAAAACACAATATGATGTAATCCTTAAACAAGTACAGGGCAATAATGTCCAACATTATTACCAACACAAACAATCATTGCATTTAGGAAAAATTGACAAGAATAATCTCACCTTTCACTAGTCTTCTTTAAATAATCCCAAAATAGTCATCTTTAATTGTACAAATAATCTCACCTTTCACTTTTTAATTATATCCTTATAAATGTGAGATTATTCATATAAGATTTTTAAAAAAGGTAAAAAACTTGGTCAGGGTCCAATGAAAGAAGATGAGGTGCAAATGTGAGATTATTTTGGGATTATTTAAAGATGGATTATTATGAGAAGACTAGTGAAAGGTGAGATTATTCTTGTCAATGTTTCCTTGAATTTATTTGAGCAATTCAAAATATTAAATTTGAAGCAAATGGAATAAAAACATTAAATAAAAAGTAAAAAAGTAAAATACAGATATAACAGGAAAACCAATTATGCCCAGGCAGCCCAGCCTTATTATTAGTACAAACACATATGGAATCAGTTTGAGGAAATCAAAAGATTAAAAAGTAAATACATTGACAACAATTGGAGTAAAATATAAAGATAAAAATAGGAAAAAAAAAACAGAGAAAGAGGAGCAGAGTATACCTGAGTGGTCAAAACAATAATAAGGGCACAAAGGAAGCTCAGGCTTTGCTTATAATAAGCTTTCATAATAGTAACGGCTCCAATGGAGTAAGCGTCGCCTCCGCCGGGGGAGACCCCACAATTAGCCATGACAGTGATGATTGCGTGCTCCTTGATGTTGAATGGGCCCGGATTGAGGGTGAAGCTCCACCGCCCGAACACCGTGAACTTCCTCTCCGGCAGAGTCGCCGCCATGAATCTGCCGACGGGAAGAACCGCAATCTGCATGAGGATGGCGGAGATGGAGAGGGGCTGGGTCCGGTAGATGAAGAAGGTGTTGAGGAAGATCAGTATTACGCAGGAGGTCAGGCCCAGAAACCAGGCCCTGAAGGTCATCACGGGGAGCGTGGTGTCGTCAGTTTCCGGGACCACCAGGGCCACTTCCTCCACCGAACATCTTTCTTCCGCCGCCGCCGCGGCCCCGTTCTGCTTCTCGCCGGCGGCGGACATTTCGTGTCTCTATATGGCCGGAGCAGAGAGTGGATGTGGGGGTAAAAATATGACAGTTGTTAGCGAACAATTTTGTTGTGTACTTGAATGTCCGCACCCCTTTTTAAAGGGTACAGAGTAGACTGGCAATCTGGCATGTATGGTTGAATCAAAGATCTTTCACCATAATAAATACATATCCCATTATAAACCTAATATTTCTATTTTTTCCATTTATCTGTCAATTTCTCATCAAATATATACTCCCCTTGTCCCACTCCCTTCATTGTAAAATAGTTCATGCATTGACTTAAATCAGAATTTAAAAAAATGAGAATAAAGTGAAATATATGATTGTGGTTGAGTAAAAAAAGGTAAATAAATGTGAGCGATACAAAACTTTCCAAAAGGGAAAATGAGAGCTATTTTTTGGGACGACCCAAAAAGGAAACCGAAAATTGTTTTGCGAGACGGCCCAAAAAGGAAACCGAAAACTGTTTTGCGGGACGGAGGGAGTAACTATTAATTTCACGCGTCAAATTGTGTAATAATAAGAAAATGTAAGTTTGAAGTTACTTGTTGTGCTGTATTAAATGAAGTTACTGTAGAAATTTTTAGTTATTTTTATGAAGTTTATTTCACATAACTATATATTTTTTTCTTTATTTTATTAACAAAGTAAATATTAAATATTTTTTCCATAAATTAATTAACCCATCCATTTCAACCATAACTTCATAAATTTCAACACAATACTAATACAACCTATTTTGATTATTAAACGGGCTCTTAGACTATCCATGTAAGCTTAATATTTGTCTACATGTAGATATAAGCCCCTATTCATAAATATATAATTTAACTTTTTGAAATTAAATGCTACAACAGAATTATTTAAAAACACCAAAAACACCAAAAATGGAAAGGAAGGGAGCCAAGTACCTTGTAGTCTGATGGCATCATTATGACACTCCCAAGAAGGAGGTCACAAGTTCGAATCTTATCCCAGTTCAAGGATGTTGACCTTAACATTGAGCATATACTATATAAGTTAGAAAGAATTGTCCAAAAAAATTGAAAGAAAGGGAACAAAATTTGTTTTAGTTAAATGAAAAAAATACAAAAGTCGTTTTATTTAAAAAAATTGTAACATTAATTATAAGCGTGACACTAGATTTGTGTAGCTAGTTTTCAATCTCATCCCAAAAGATTATTGTGAAATGTGTCCAAACACCTAAGTTGGTATAGAATATGTTCTTAGGGCCTTAGACTGTCACCACTATCTTTGTCGTCCAAGCTAAGAACAATACCAATTCAATAATTAAAATATTATAATATCATGATAGAATGAATTAATGAGTTCCAACTAATTAAAGTAGTAATTGACACATGCATACCAAAGTGTCTTGATCGTTGCTTGTCACGGCTCATTATTTCAACTGCGTATACACTCGATCTTATAAATATAAATTTTGAATATTAATACGTAGTACTCCGTATGATTTAATTTTTATACGTCTTGGTGGTTTAAATTAAATTTAGTTAAATCTCAAAATTATACGTAACTTTTTATAACTGTGAAAACTGTATTAGAGGAAAGTAGTGTATATGAGTGTAAATAAAATATACTTCGTATACTTTTGGCCGGATTTTTAGTATCAATCCTTTAAAATCGATTAACCAATGTCTTTTGCCTTTCCATATTTTTAATTTGTATACCTTATTAAATTAATTAATTAGTCACCAATGTGTATTGCCGTGCGAAGATACCACGGGAATACAATCATACATATCCACAAAATTCTATAATGATACGGAGTATATATTAATTAGTTTGTTGGTACATAGGTAGGATTGAACGAAGCATATAATAATGGGCAGTGACATTGACCGAAAATGAGAGAATATGAACTTTCGGAACAATTATATATATTGATTGACAAACTAATTAAATAAATACGATAAAACGTACACTGAGATGTCATTACTCGTGATGCTAACTAATACTCCAAGTCTCTAATATTTAAGTCTCAAACCGGTTTAATCATATTAAACTTAAACAAAGAAGGGTGGTTTGATAATCTCTACCTTTACTTAATGTGTTGTACCAATTAATTTTTTCTCAAAATAATACTTTTTAAAATAATCAAAATAAATAAGATATGAGTTATAGTATTGGCTGAATTAATTGATTAATTTTTTTAATGAAACAATTACATATTTATGATTAAAATGAAGACTTTATACAAAAATGTGGTTATTAGTGACTAGATTAATAATGAAATCATAATAATTTACATTCAATTTTTAAACTAAAATTATCACGACACTACATTGTACTCCGTAGTAACTATTAGTCATATTTATGTAAATAAGTTTTTTTGAAAACGCCGTTTTTTCAATGTGACTGTTAAATTTTAATACTCCGTATATTTAAAATTTAGCAATTCCGTCTTGAGCTACGTGAGGTTTGAAATTTTAATTTATTTTGTTTTGTCAAAATTGTTTAAATTTATTTTAATTCTTCCATTTACTTTATGCATGCCCATGTTGTATATTCACACATAAGCAGTAATATGGAGTTTAAATTAATGTAAATTTCCAAAACCGGCCAGCAATATTTTTACATAATCATAAACAACGATTAAATAGGGAGCGCTAAAATAATCAAGATTTAGGCAAATCGATCGATCATTAATTACATTTGCTGTCATTATTATTACCTGGTAAGTCAAAATGAAGTCAAGACACGTGGTGCTTTGGTCTAGCGAGTGGGAGTCACTGTCTGAGCGAAATGTAAAGGCAGGAGCACGTGTTTGAAGTGTGGGCCTCACGGTCCGTCACACGTCAGCTAGTGGGTTCCTCGTTCCGCTCGTGCCAAACTGACGCTGTTAGTGAATACGTTCGGGTGTCTTCATAGCCCATCGTTACCGTCGGGGAAGTTTAGTCATAGTTGAACGGCGGTTGCCGTTAACAGGATCCACGCTGGACAAAAGCTTGTGGGTAGCGTGTGTCGGGTTGCATGCAGGCAGGCTGGTGGGACCGGCTTCCCGAGAATCATTTTTATTCCATCCATTTTATTTATTTCTTTATTTATCTGATGTTCAAATAATCAAAAAAATATCCCAAAAGTAATTGAGCATGTGAATATATGATAAAGAGCATCTTTAATGGGAATGTGAATTGTACCCCATAAAAACGCAAATTATACCGTGGGATCGGCCCACCATGCGCAAGGTGTGCCGATCCCAAAACGGTGCAGTTTCATATTGAAAATTGGAAATCATTTTATCTCCGTCAGTCCGTCTTCTATGCCCCTTCATCTCTTTCGTCGGTTGCTATGCCTATCTGCTGCTTATCTGCTCTGCATCGGATTTCCCATCTTATTTCCTCCCTCCTCTGTTATTGTTGTGCATCTGGGAGAGCCGAATCAGAATAGTAGGGTTAGGTACTCCACATCTTATTCCCTGCTCTGCTTCGAATTTGGCTTGGTCATCCAACATAACACTACAGAGCCTAAATCTCAGACTCATTGATATCTACGCCCATCTATATCCATGCGCAGATTCAATTCATATACAAAATCAATAACCCAAAGTCTCAATTTATCTCTTAGATTCAAGTTGAAGGGACAAAATCTGAGGAAAGTCATTACCAATCCAAATTCTTGTCTCTCCAGCCTCCAGTCACTTTGATTATATTTGTGCTAAGTTACATTTCTATGCTTATAGTTTTGATTTAGGCTCAACTTACATTTGAAAATACATGCAGTTACATCAGAATATGCCTAAAGTTACATATTTGATACCATCAGTTACATGTCAACTTTTCTTACCAAGTTACATACTTCTACATTTGATTTACATTTTCCAAAACACGTGTTACATCACAATATAATGCGAGTTACACAACCCAATAAGCCCCTGCTATTCAAATAAAAATCATTTTTATAAAACAATCATTTTTAATGGCTCTAATATTAAAAAAACATATGCGCTATTTATGTAAAATAATTTGACTTCTTTTTTATCATTATTTACATTTAAATCAAAGTTTACGTCTTAACTATGTATTTGACAAAGTTACATTTCGACTGGACTTGATTTACATTGATTAATAACGTGAGTTACATATATTTACATGTGAGTTACATCATTCATGCTACTCGGACAAAAAGAAGGAAAAAACAGTTAATGTACACACGTGTACTGTTCACGCGTGTACTGTTCACGCGATTTTTTTTAAAAGATTGTGCAAAACTACGTCGTTTTGGGAGTGGGAGCATGGTGCTCACCGTGGGATGATCCCACGGTATAGGAACTGCCATAAAAATGAACATGTCATCAATTTAAACGGCCTCTCAAACTAACGTGGATGCACCTTTTAAAAGAAATTCCCTAATAAAATTATAAGGGAAGCACCTTATTCTTTTAAATGAATCTAACGTGTGTAGAATTATAAAATTTATAATTCTTTCTAATTCTTTTAAAATTCCCTAATCAATTATAAGGGTAGCGTGTGTAAAATAGTAAAATTCCCTAAATGATGATGTGAATCTAAAATAACACTTCACATGTAAAATAAAATTTATAATTCAATAATATATATATCCATAATTCGAGTACACCCTTATAATTGAAATAGTATTTCTAATACGTCAAGTAATTCGCATCCCTGCATATGAGTAAAATATCATTACCACAATATCACATTCCAAAGTTCCACATTCCAATGGCCACCTTTTAAAAGAAATTCTGAAAATATAAATTTCTTAAATTTTCTGAAAATATAAATTTTTAGAAAAGAAATATCCAAAATAGATTTCTAAAAATATATCACACCAACAATATAACTTTTGAAAGATACAATTTCCTGAAAATATAAGCCTTCAAAAATACAACCATAAACAAAATAGTTTCCCATGAGTTTTTAACCTTCCCAAAATGTAACTTTCCAGATATACCACTTTCCCAAAAATGTATAATTAAACCTTAAAATTGTCAGGGTGATTACCAACTCACCATACAAATTCATTTGACAATAATCCACCAAAATCACTTTAAGTAAGAAAGACACTTTCGTACAAATTCATATTTCCAAAATCATACTTAATACTCATCCACCAAATCCATGTCTACCAATTTAGAAACTGAACCTCTACT